TTCCATTGCCTCTACCCTATGTGTGATGGACACAGCGTGTTCCAAGGCCTCTACCCTATGTGTGATGGACACACGTGTGTTCCAAGGCCCCTACCCTATGTGTGATGGATACAGCGTGTTCCAAGGCCCCTACCCTATTTGTGATGGACACAGCGTGTTCCAAGGCCCCTACCCTATGTGTGATGGACACAGCGTGTTCCAGGCCTCTACCCTATGTGTGATGGACACACGTGTTCCATTGCCTCTACCCTATGTGTGATGGACACACGTGTTCCGAGGCCTACCCTATGTGTGATGGACAGTGTGTTCCAAGGCCCCTACCCTATGTGTGATGGACACAGCGTGTTCCAAGGCCTCTACCCTATGTGTGATGGACAACGTTTCCAATCTACCCTATGTGTGATGGACACACGTGTTCCAAGGCCCCTACCCTATGTGTGATGGACAGTGTGTTCCAAGGCCCCTACCCTATGTGTGATGGACACACGTGTTCCAAGGCTTCTACCCTATGTGTGATGGACGCCAGCGTGTTCCAAGGCCTCTACCCTATGTGTGATGGACACAGCGTGTTCCAAGGCCCCTACCCTATGTGTGATGGACACAGCGTGTTCCAAGGCCCCTACCCTATGTGTGATGGACACAGCGTGTTCCAAGGCCCTTGTTCTATGATGGATGCAGCGTATTCCAAGGCCCTTGTCCTACAGTGATGGCAGCGTGTTCCAAGGCTCTGATTCTATTACAATTTGGATAAATGGGGCAGTCAGCCTGGGACACACAGGTTGACCCCCTGGAAGTGTCCTAGGCTGACCTCTGTGGGAGTGGCAGTGGAACACACAGCTGTGAAGCCACGAGTAGGAAAGGTGGAATGAAAACTAATCCTCGAGCTGCCCAAGAGGCAAGACGCAGAAGAGAAGTTGACACGCGACACTGGCAAATGTCAGGCACTAAACACACGCCAGAAACATGTCCACACGCATCGACGGCGTTCAGTACAGACGTGTGACATGGTTTTTAGAAACCAAGTCACACGGCGTCCACAAAAAGACACAGCTAGCACTGAACAGCAAGGATTTTAAAATCTGACATCGAAGTCAGAAAAGGAAAGAAGGCTACAGGCAGGTCCTTCACGGAGACAGAGGCAAAGGTTCTCAGCAAGCTGAATCCAGAGGAGCAGACACCGTGCCCGAGTGGGATTTCTCCCAGAAACCAACTAATGTATCACTCCACACAAACAGCACAATGAATCAAAACCAGCAGATACAGAAAGGGCATCTGATAAAATCCAATATGCATCCTCAGTAGGAGCACTCAACACATCTGGGCACAGGGGTCGTCTTCAGCCAGACGCAGAGTTGGGTGTGGGAGCCCCTGGCAGGTGTGGGAGCCTACGGCAAGAGCGGGAGCCCACGGCAGGTGTGGGAGCCCTCGGCAAGAGCGGGAGCCCACTGCAGGTATGGGAGCCCACGGCAGGAGTGGGAGCCCCTGGCAGGTGTGGGAGCCCCTGGCAGGTATGGGAAGCCCCTGGCAGGTGCGGAGACCACATGGCAGATGTGAGAGCCCCCAGCAGGATCAAATGCGTCCCCCAGGATCTTCTCTGATGCTGCATGGCGACTTCCAGCCAGTGTGATTATGGAGAAATAAAAACAAGAAGAAATTAAAGGCATCCAGATTTAAAGAGAAGAAGCGAAACTGTCTTTACTCACACAGGACATGGCCCTGTATGTAGAAAACTCTAAGGGGGAGCTGGCACTGTGGCGGCGGTTCAAGTCCCGGCTGCTCCACTCCAACCCAACTCCTTGCTATGGCCTGGGAAAGCAGTAGAAGATGGTCCAAGTCCTTGGGCCCCTGCACTGGTGTGGGAGACCTGGAGGAAGCTCCTGGCTCCTGACTTTGCCTGGCCCAGCCCTGGCCATTGTGGCCCTTTGAGGAGTAAACCAGCAGATGGAAGACCTCTCTCTCTCTCTCTCTAACTCTATCTCTCAAATAAATAAATCTTTAAAAATTATTTGAGTAAAAACATATAAAAGAACTGTGAAAAATGTATACTGAAAACTACTATCACTGAAAGAAATTAAGACAGATGAGTTGGTGGAGAGATGTACCATGTTCATGGACCACAGGACTCAACTCTGAACGCGCCGTTTTCTCCAGCTAGATCTACAGTCAGCACAGCGCACAGCGGAACTCCAGTACGCACTGTTGTTTTTTTTTTGGGCAAAAAGGGACAGCTGATCCTAAAAGTGATATGCAAATTCATAGGTCTTAGAATGGGCAAACACAATTTGGCAAAGGAAGAATGGACTTGGCAGATGCACTGTGCTTGATTTCAGAGCTTACTGCAAAGCTGTACCGACCAAGACGGCAGAGAAGGCTTGAGGCAGGCACAGACCCCGAGCAGAGCTGGGGCCCAGGGTGAACCCCACGTGTGTGGCTGACTGGTTCCTGACAGAGGCGCCATGATGACTGAGAGAGGGAAACATGCTCTTTTTGGCAATTGGTACCGCGCAACCATTTGTAAATTTATCAAAGTTCGTGAACCAAACAAGAAAAACTTAAGACTGTCTCGTGCCCACTCCAAAATGACCTCAGAAACAAATATAAAGCTGAATGCAAGTGTTCGTCTATACAGCTGCTGGGAGAAAAACAGCAGAAAATATTCAGGATCTTGGGTTAGGCAAAGAAGTGTCAGAACGTGCAAGTCATGAACCACGCGAGCAGAGACGAACTGGGCTTCCTCAGGTGAGGAACATGCGTGCCGGGGGGCCGGGCCCGGAGACGGAGGACACAGGTGCCAGTCTCAGGGGTGCATTTGATCAAGGGCTTGCATCCTCAACACTGACTGAACACACTGCTTAATTAGAGTGGGCAAGGGAGCTGGGTAAACACGCCCGCCCGACAAGGCTTTGAGCGGCTAATCAGCACATGAACAGTCGCTCAACAACGTCGTCATTAGGGGATGCAAATCGACCCACAATGAGACACCACCTCAGGCTTGAAAGGGCTGGAAGGGAAAAGGCCAACCACACATGGCCCCCGGGAGCCGGGGAGGAGAAGGTGGGGGGAGGTGACGCGGCACGGACCCTGGGAAGCTAAGCAGAAACTCACCCTGTGCTTTCTCAGCGACACGACCAGACCAGACCATTCTAGCGGGGACTGAAGATTCAAGGAGGCAGCGGGCAAGCTTGCTCCTAGACAGGAACACAGCACTGCACCACGCCTCCAGGGCCCAAGCCCAGATCATGCATTTCTCCACGGACCTCAGGACGGACGTCGCACAGACCCCTTCCTGTGACCGTGCGGCGGGATCACTGTGAAATCTCCCAGCGAGAGTAACGGCAAAAATCACGGGAGGTCCCAACCGGGGTGGGAAAAGTGCACAGGGAAGGCTGAAGTGGCGCAGCTGTCAAACCGCGGGGCAGCAGCCCGAGGGGCAGCTTCCGGGCCTGACTTCGAGGTCCAGAAGCTTTGAGCGTTAATTATCCAACTTGGGAGGTCGAAGAACAGCAAGACCACCTGCAGGCCAGGAAACCAGATGGGCAAAGCAAAGACAAAACCTGCAGCGTCAACAGCTCGGTGCAGACGTCCTTGTAATCGGTGAGCGGGTGAGCGGCCGGCAGGCTGCCCGGGGCGGGGGATGGGAGTCCTGGCACAAACACACGGCCTTCAGGATGGAGAGGGGGAAAGGTTGACCCTGCACACGCTCAGGTGGGAGCAAACGCCCGAGAATTTGAAAACAAGGGAACACAGGGGGTTCAATGTCAAAACTGACACACAAAGAAATGGAGACCCAGATCGGCCATTCGTCACCACGAACTAAAAATTCCCCAGAGAACGACAGGCCTGGAACGGCCTTAAGGTGCACAGAACATTCAGGAACAAGTCAGCGTCACCGTCTACACAACACCCTGACGCCCAGTGAGGCTGCTTCTGCACCTCGTCCAATGCCCCGTGAGGCCAGGCGGGGGGTGAGAGGTTAGGTCGCACCTGCCTCTCACCCATCAGCACCGACCTGGGTGCTCATGGGGGATTTCAGCAGTGCCTAGCAGCATACAGCAGGAGGGCCTGGTGGGCGGCGGAGCCGGCGGGGAGAGGGACCCGAGCAGGAGATGGCGGAGGGCTAGGACGAGAGCAGGGAGACACACCCAGGAGGCTCTGGGAGCCCGGTGGGGGCCTGAGAGTCTCAGGGGTCCCCGGAGGGGTCCCTCGGGAGTGAGGGTCAGGGTGGCAGCGTCTGTGTCCCACGGGAGGGGAGGCAGCTGTGGGCCTCCTGGATCTGGAACATTTTCACCCAGAGACAAGGGCTGTGGGACAGGAAGCAGCAGCGGAGTGTCGGGTGGTGGGGGCCCCTTCCCACCCCCGCCCCCTGAGCTGGGGCGAGGAAGCCAGGCCTCTCCCATGTCCTGCTCTGGCAGAAACACACTGGCAAGAAATTCCCCAGCCATGTGCTCCTGGTGGGTATGGCCTGCACCACAAACAGGGCCGGTGCTAGGAGAACCTTCCAGGACAGCAAGGAGGGCCCGGCCCCCCGACTCCAGCTGCCAGCCCTGCGTGGGTTCTGGGGTGGCCCACAGGGAACCCCGGGGAGCGAGGACACCTGCTCCTCCCCACCCTGCCCCTGCCCCCTCGCACCCCACCTCCCTGTCTGTGGCCTCACGGGGTCAGGCTCGTCCCCTAGCTCTCCGAGACCTTTCTGGGCCTCCGTGTCCCTGCCCAGTGCGAGGGGCGCCTTAGAGAGAACGAGAGAACAAGAGAACGAGGCCTTCACAGAGCGAGGCAGCGAGACTCGGTGCCGCGAGCCCGGAGCCCGTGGGGCGGCTTCTGTGAGTTTTCCACACAAGCACTGGGGAGGGGCTCACACTCGCCCACACGGGGAGGCCCAGGGGCAGGGTGGGGGTCCCGGTCGGGGGTCTGCAGGGCAGAGGCGAGCCCGAGCCCCTGAGGCCGGGAGGAGGGGTGGAGCCGGCCTCACAGCAGAGGCTCTCGGGCCCACAGCGGCCCCTGCCCCGCTGCCCTTCTCAGCGAGGGCCTGGGAGCAGCTGGGGCGGGGGCGGCTGGCGTGGGCGCCCAGGGCTGCTGGCTGCTGGATTTCCTGTCCCCGGCTCCCCAATGGCTGCTGTGATGGCGACTCTGGGCCCGGCAGCATGGCCTCCATGCCCTCTGGGCCCAGCCAGGCCCTTCCCCACCGCCTGTCGCCAAGGGGCGGTGCTAAGTGGCAGGGGGCGGGGCCGGGCAGGCTGCCATCCACTGAGCCCAGGCCTGCCGGCGCTGCCTCTGCACCCTCCATCGGCCTGTGACAGGCAGCCCGGGTCCACGTCAGACCCCTCGAGCGACCGAGACTCAGCAAGAAATGTGGGTGCCGCCCACGGCCTCAGGGACCCCGGCAGGGACCCCCACCCCCGGCCTCCTCAGTGCGCAGAGCTGCGCCCGAGGACCTCCTGCGTCCCTACCACCTGGCCCTGCGCCCGGCGTGGCCGAGGCCACGAGGGGCTGGGAGCCGCAGCCCAGCTTTGTTCCTGGCCCTCGTGCCTGGGGGTCAGCGGCTCGGAAAGCATGTCTCCTTGTTGTTCGGATCTGACGGAAGGCGGGCATGCGGTTCTGCACCCCGAGGCCAGCGCCGGCCCCACCTCAGCCCACCACGCTGGCCTTGGCCAGCCCAGACCCCAGCTCAGACCCAGGGAGGGGCCTGCTGGTCACTGCTGCACCCTCAAAGGACACCAGGCCCTGTTCCGTGCAGCAGTGGGCAGAGCCACAGGAGAGGCCGAACCGGGCCCTGGCGGGGGGGCTGCGGGACTGCTCATCTGGAGACGCCGACCCCACAGGGCCCAGGAGCCCAGCCAGAGGTGTCCAGGGTGTCCAGGGGCGGCCACTGCCCTTCCCGTGAGGGCAGCTGACGGGGATGGTGGGAGGACGGGCCCATTGCCTGGCTCCCCCATGGCTTCCTCGGCTATCTCCTACCCGCGTGCAGATCCCGCTGTGCTGGGGACGCCAGCCTGGAGCCACCAGACCGGGAAGAGTCACAAGCCCAAGCCGTGGTGGTTCCTGGGCCCACCCTTCCCGGACGCAGCACCCAGCCTGCCCGACAGACCCCAACCCCCACCCCGGGCCAAGTGCCTGGGAAAAGCTGGTGCCGGTGTAGGCCCCCGTGGGGCTCACGGGCCAGGGTGCCCCGTGTCTGAGCCTCGGCCCCTGCGCTCCCTGCCTGCTCCTGCTGCCCGGTCTCGGGGCCCCACGGCCACCCCAGGCTTGGGGCAGATTGCGGGGCCTGGGCTGGGGGGCTGGGGGGCCACCCAGGGCCCCATCCCTCCTGCCCCGCTGCAGCCGGGATGGACTGGGCCAGAGCCAGGCGTCGCCGGGGAGACGGAGCGGCAGACGCATGCCCTGCCCCACCGAAATTCCTCTATTTTTAGCCTCTCGGTTACTTTCAGATAAAGTCCATGCGGCCTGACGAGCTGTTCCACAGATAACGGCCGCTTCAGACCACGGAGGCTCCGAGGGCCTGGGAGAGGCTCTCGGGGAATCGCTGGAGAGGGGTGAGGTTATCCCAGCGGCCAGCGCCCCGGCTGCCAGCAAGGCCATGTGGCTGGCCTGGGAAAGGGGGAGAAGCGGCAGCCCCACTCCCCCCCCCCCGGCAGGGCGTGGTCAGGCCCCTGGCGGGGGGGCCACGGACACCCGTTCCACCTGAGCCTATCCGCAGACCACACACTGGGGCGCAGGTGAGCAGGAGACACCCGCCCCCTCCCAGGAGCCGGCTTGGTGGGGCTCTGAGCTCTGCTGCTCCCAGCGCTGGGCCTGGTCTCCCTTCCACTTGGGGTGCAGACCACGAGAGGGGCCATCGTGAAGTTCCTGGCCCCTCCTCACCAGGGCAGAGCTGGCCCCGGGCTCAGAGACGCCCCCAGCAGCAAGGCCTCTGGTTTCTCTGTGCACAGGCGGGCCAGGGGCGCCCCGGGGACGGCACTGCCCACCACCATGTGACACCCATTCCCGCGGACTCCAGGGAGAGGCTCATGGGTACCCGGTGCCACTGCCAGCAGCGGTGTCACGTGCCACTGGCCCAGCTGAGGGAGGGGAGGAGAGCTGTGGACCCCACGGCCCGACCCAAGTCCTGTGCACACACAGGGGACGGGGCAAGGAGCAAGATGCTGCCCCCGGGGGCGGTGACCGCCTGCAGGTGCTGCCGCGCTGAGACCCGTCCCGGCGCAGCCTACCTTGTCTTCCACCCGGTTCAGGCGGGCGCCAATGGAGTTGCTGCCGCGGTCCTTGCTCTTTTCTGGGGGGTGAAACAGCGTCAGGGTTGTGGGCTGCCAGGGGCGGGGGCCTGGGGCTGGGGAGGACGTCGGTCAGGGGCCCGCGCACAGGCCGGAGCCCCGTGCTCTGCTCCTGACTGGACTCCAGGCACGCAGACCCGGGAGCAGCGATGCCACAGGCATCCCAGGTGGGAGACCTGTGAGTTCCCGGCTCCCGGCTCAGTTCTAGCTGTTCTGCACAAGTGCGCGAGGCCAGCAGGTGGGCGTGCGCGCGCTCGCTCAAACGAATAAAGTAAAAACACCGAGCCCACGTGCAGTCTTCTCAGCGCTCCTGCCGTGAGGCGCCAGGGAGTGGCGGAGGGGGAGGCGCGGGACCGGGCACCTGGGCTCCGGCCCTGCTCCACGGCCAGGTCCGTGACCTCTGCAGAGCCCGGCAGATGGGGCCAGGCGCGGCTTGCTCAGGAGGCCGCCAAGCTGCCCACTCTGCAGCTGTGCTGTGCACCCCCAGCCACAGGCCACCGCTGCCGGAGCCATGAGCTGCGGCTCTTGCTGGAACTTGACCTTGACCCCCAAGGAACGGGGCTGGTCCTGTGCTTCCTGGCCTGAGTCGGCCCTGCGTCCCCAGGACCCAGGGGTCAGCCGTGGAGCTGCGGGGCACGCTGCGGCCCCAGGTCGCGCCCCCTTTCTGAAGCTCCTCTAGACGGCACACCCACACCCAGCGCCTGACCTTTATGCCCTGAAAGTTGGCCATTTAGAGGGACCCAGGGGGTGCTTAGCGACTCGGAAACCACTTCACCCCACCCCTGCTCCCTGGCTTCAGGCCCTGGTGGCTGCTGTGGCGGTGGGGCGAGGCTGGCACGGCTGCAGAGACACACCTGAGATGGGGACGAACAGGGACGGCTTCCCGATGGACTGGTCCAGCCTGGGAGAGAAGGAGGGAGAGCAGCTCACGCCGGGCCCAGGCACCGCACAGACACCTGACCCGCGGAGGGGGCCAGCTGATGGGCCCCTCCTCTCGGGGGCACCTCCACTGCCACCCTGAGCCCCGAGTGACGAGGGGCAGTGCTCAGATCACCCCTTAGACTTCCTCCCTGGGCGGGGCCGGCGAGCACAGGCCCTCTCCCAGTTCACGGAGCTGGTTCCCAGGCTAGCCTACCATGGCGGTTCAGCTGGTCAGACTGGGCAGCCCAAGGATGGCGCTGGGGAGCAGCCCAGGACCGGGGCCAGAAGCCGGGAGGCGCCCGACGGTCAGGGCCCCCAGCTCCAGGCCCAGGGTGGGTGGGGCTTGGGATGCTGCTGAGGAAGGGGGAGCAGGTGCTGTCCTGCTGGGGTCTCCCCCACCCCTCTCCATCCTCTGAGACCTGGAGAGGCAGAAAGGAGAGACCCCAGTTCTCCCGCTGTGGGTTAGAGGCTTGGGGAAAGACTGGGCAGCTGAGGGGGACAGCTCCAGGCTGCCGCACTCCCCTCCCGCTGGCTCAGGCTGCTGAGGTGGGAGCTGGGCAGGCCAGGTGCTGTGGGTCCTACTCAGCTCTGTGCCCAGCAGGAAGGCCCCGCCCACAGACCTCTCCCCCAGCCCACAGGCCCCTCCCCCGGCCCACGGGCCCCTCCCCCAGCCCACAAGCCCCTCCCCCGGCCCACGGGCCCCTCCCCCGGCCCACCTTCTCTGCAGTTCTTTGATGCGCACCATGAGGTTGAGGTGGCCCTGGGAGTACTGCTCGATGACGTCACGCACGTCGTAAGGCTTCCGCGCTTGCTGCAAGCCAGAGAGGTGTGTGTCATGTGCCCCCATCCCCACACCTGGTGGGCTCGGGATGGGGGCAGGGACAGGGACCTGCCTGCGCTGAGCGGCCCCAGGCCCAAGGTCCAGCCTCTCAGGTGCTGGCTTCCTGCTGCTCACCCGCGGGAGCTGCCTGCTCCCTCTTCCAGACCCCCAGTCCGGGGGCTCGATGGCTTTGGGGAGAGCTGCCCCAAGGCCAGGGCAGACAGCAGGGCCCCACACCCACACTGCGGGGAAGCTCAGCTCTGCACAGCCCCCACGGCCTGGGCCCACAGCCCCCCTGCGCCCGGGCTGGGGAGGCGGCACCAAGCACCTTCCCAGGCAGGCCCGGGCCCGGCCCGCGGCGCTCGCTTGGGGTGATGGGCATCTGCTTGGCCTGGGGCCACCTGGGGTGGGGCAGGGCACCCCGGGGCACTCAGGCTTGGCGCCAGCTCTGAACCCATAAATGGGGTTCAGGTGACATCAGCAGAAACCACAACAAAGAAGGTGAAGCTTCTCGTGATGTCAGCAAAATACAGCCCGGCCTCACCCAGGCTGATCTGACGGCCCGGAAGCCAGGCCACAGCGCGCCAGCAGCCAGGAGCTGGGCTGCCATGGCCTCAAGGGGCCCAAAGCCTCAACCAGCTGGACAGAGAGGGCTCGATGGGGCCAGAAGAAAAGCAAAGGGTGGAGCTCCGACGTGGAGCTGGGCAGCGGCCAGGACAGCCTGCACCTCTGCCCGGCGGCCAGGATGGCCTGCACCTCCCTGCCCGGCGGCCAGTATGGCCTACACCGCTCCGTCCGGCGGCCAGGATGGCCTGCACCTCCCCGTCCAGCGGCCAGGACGGCCTGCACCTCCCTGCCTGGTGGCCAGTATGGCCTACACCACCCCATCCGGTGGCCAGGATGGTCTGCACCACTCTGTCCAGCGGCCAGGACAGCCTGCACCTCCCTGCCCGGCGGCCAGGACGGCCTGCACCGCTCCGTCCGGCGGCCAGGATGGCCTGCATCACCCCACCCAGCAGATTACATGCTGAGGCCCTTTGGTCTGCTGGGCCTCGGCTGGTGACAGAACAGCTGCGCTTGGGCACAAGCTGGCGGTGACATGGCCAGGTCTCAGTTTCTCCTTGTGTACTGCGCAGATGCTGAGCCCTGCCCCTCCTCCCTCCTGTGCGATGCAGATCTGAGCCCAGGGAGGGAGGTGAGGAAGGCCAGGGAAGCCCAAGTAGGCCCCACAGCTGAGCCGGGGCCTCAGCCTCTCTTTGACACACACGTGAGATGGCCATGAGTCCAACCTGCCTACTCGTGGGGGCCAGAGAGCCTAGGACGCCCACAGCCATTCCCGGTGGACCCGAGAGGCCAGGGCAGGCGGTGAGGGTGGGGGTGGTCCAGAGCCCAAGGTGCTGCGGTCCTGGCCTGGGTGGGAGCTTGCACACTGGACCCCCGCAGAGCCTGGGCACCTGTGGGCCACGTGTGCAGGTGCCCTGGGTGTGTTGGGGCCTCTGCAGACGCGCAGGTGACCCCAGGTGCGGCTGTGGGAGTGGGCGGCGCCTCCCAGTACCCTCACCCTAGCCTCACCTTGCCCAGGGCAGGAAGCCCCCGCCAACACCTGGCAGACGACTCCGTGGCACCAGGGCCTGCTGAGACCCATCTTGGAGCCTATGGGGTCTTGCTGGACCAGTGGGGGCTTTTGTCAGCGGGGGCAGGGCTGGAGAGAGGAGCTCTATCTCCTCCTGGAGTCAGCTCCCCCAGCAGGAGCCTGAGGTGAGCTTAGACAATGCCGGCCTGTCCAGACTGACCGCCGGCGGATGCCAGAGTTCAAGGCAAACTTGAAGGGCTAAGAGGCTCTGGCTCCTCTGGCCAGACAGAGGGGCGGCTGGCCAGGGACTTATCGGCTGGCAAGGCAGGCGGGGGGCCTCCTGCGTGGTCTGCAGACCCTGAGGCCAGCCTGGGGTGGGGCCTGCTGGGGCTGCAGGTGACTGGTGGGGCCGGGGGGGGGCAACCCCTCCTGGCAACTCAGCCAGGAGAGCCCAGCCCCTGCCCCGGCGCCTGCTGCCTGGTTCCTCAGGACCCAGGGAAGGAGAAAGCAGGAGGCGGGGGTGGCCTGGACATTCCGGGAGGGCCACAGCCCTTGTCTTGAAGCAGCGAGCTGGACCTCAGCCTGGAAGGGGGAATGGCTCTCAGCCAGCTCAGCCGGTGCCCTGCCCCCACCCCCAGGCCGGCCTGTGCCTGGTGTGGGCTTGGGCTCTGTAGGACCCCGGCGCCGAGAGCAGCCCCCAGGAAGCCCAGTGTCCACCCAGGAGAGTCCTGTCATTCCCTCCGGCGGCAGCAGGAAGGACACAGAGGAAGAGGCTCCCAGCTCCTGCAGGGGCCAGGGGTCTCCCCCTAGAACGGTCCGGCTAGCCGAGAACAGCATTCACCAGGACTCTGACTGTGGCAGTTAACAAGGCCCAGGCCCTGCCAGGACACCGGGCACCGCTTGGTCCATCTGAGCCATCACAGCCCCCAGGGGTGCTGGCCGCTGGCCGCTGGCACATGGACTCTCCCTTGAGGGTCGTCCTGTGACTGCTGCTGCCGAGGCTGGCGAGGGGGGCACATGTTCCCTGCCCGACCCCTGAACTCTTACCCCCCATGGCCATCACGGAAGACCCTGCCTGGGGCTGCCTGGCAGGGAGGGTGAGGGTCTGTCCTGACCCCTGCGGGGAGTCCAGAGGCCAGGGTGGGCGGGGGCTCTGCTGAGGGTCGTGGCTTGGAGGTGGAGGCTGGGGTGCCAATGAGACACCCCTCCCCATCCCTGCTTTCTGGAAAGAGAGTATTCCTCCCTGCCCCCAGGCACCCCCGCCCCCACCAGCCCCTGCAGCCCCCACTGCGGTGGAGCTGAGCCTGCCACTGCGCTGCTTCTCTGGCGGGCTGCTCACAGAGCTCCGGCCCCACCCCCCACTCACAGAGCTCCGGCCCCGCCCCCCACTCGCAGAACAGGGTCAAATGTCCCCTGAGCCACTGGGGTGGGGGTGGGGGACAAGAGCACTGGGCTGCTCAGGACAGGGTCTGGGGGCTGGTTCGGGACAGGCTCTGCCGCTGGGGTCTCTGTCTAAAGTTGCTGTGGACCCGTGGGGGGCGGGGGCGGGGGCGGGGTCTGAGCAAGCCAGAGCCTGCCAGGCTGCTGCCTTCTTACTGTGCCAGAGGAAGGCTCAGGTCCGGTTGGGCCTGGGTGGGGGAGCCCCTAGGAAGGCTCAGCTGTCCTGGGGGGGCCTGGGGGAAGCCCCTGGCTGTTGGGGGTGGGGGAGGGAGGTCCTCCAGGGTGGGGCGTTTGCTGGGGGAGGGGAGCCCCTAGGAGGGCTTTGCTGTCCTGGGTTGGGGGGCCTGGGGGAAGCCCCTAGGAGGGCTCGGCTGTCCTGGGTGGGGTGGGGAGAGGCCTGCGGGGCGGGGCGCTTGCTGGGGGAGGGGTGCGCCCAGGAAGGGCTTGTCCGGCTGACAGGGACTCACCTGGAATTTCTTCTTGGCCACAAAGTACTGCATGCGCCGGATGACCTTCACGGTGGCCCGATGGTGCTCCCGCAGCCTGCGGGGACGGAGAGGAGCGCGTGAGTGCTGCTGCACCCTGGAGCCTTCCAGAAACAGGGTGGAGAGCTGCGAGGCTGCGGCCGGGAGAGGAGCCTCGTCCCGGGGGGAAGATGGCCTGCCGCTCGGACGAGGGTGGGGGCCAGGCCCTGGGCTCACAGTGGTGGCGCCTCTGGCCTGGGGCAGGGTCTGAGACGCCCCCCCGCCCGACCTTCTGCGTCCTCCGCCCCCCCCCCCCCCCCCGCTCGGCCGCGGCCTCTAAAGCTCCTTCTAGAAAGATCACGAAGGAAGGAGATGCAAGAGAGGACACAGGCGTGTGCGGGGCAGAGGCTGGGCGAGAGCCCAGCACCGGGAGCCGGGGGCTCAGCTTGCCCCTGGCTCCGCCTCCTGCTGCAAACACTGGGCGCTAACACGCCACAGGAGCGGCGCGGAGGGCTCAGGCCCCAGGGCTGAGGGACGCTGGATGGACGTGAGCCCCTCAGGGCTGCGCCTGCCCCTCAGAGCACAGGCGTGGGGGAGGGGGGAGGCTCACGGGGCTGGCGAGAAAGACAGTGGAGTCCAGGGCATCCGAGACGTCCGGGACATGCAGGGACGTGCGGGGACAAGGTGCTGCCGGCCAGGCCCCGGCCCTTCGTGCCCTCTGTGGGCTCCCGAGCTGCATCGTGGGTGAGCGAAGGCCCTGCTCTGTGGAGAGCTCGGCCAATGGCACCACCCAGCAGCACTGGGATTCTGAAGCCACCGGGCAGGGGCTCTCAAGTGACCAGAGCGAGGTGTCCCGCCAGGCCCCACAGGGAGGTGACGTCCCCAGGCCGCCAGAGCGCTCCACGTGACTTCACAGAGACTGAAAAGCAAGGAACACAGCAACACTTAACGCACTGCACACTTGCCGCTGGCTTCCCCTCGACCTTATGACTGGCACAGCAGCGAGGATGCTGGGAACTGACACTGTGTGTGACGCAAGCCACTGAGATGGGACCAGGGGAACAAACCTGAGCTGGCTCGCCGAGGAGAGCCGGGGGCTCCAGCCGACGGCCGGCGCCACCCCAGAGGCGTGAGTGAGGCCTCTTAGAGCTTCCACCCTGGGGGCGCCATGTTGAGACTGCAGCCGCACACACTGCCCCAGCAACGCCGGCAGAACAACCTTCCAGCTGAGCCCAGTCCACGTTCTGGATGCACAGGACTGTGGGCCAAGATCACTGCTGTAAACCCTTAGGTCCAGCAGCGAGAGAGAGCTGATGGGCGCCTGGGACTCAGCTCTGGACCCCACTGTCCTGAGCCTCTGCCCCCTGCCCTGTGTCAGTGCCCCACACGATACATGGACGAATGCTCCAAGGAGCAAATGCAGCCCTGAGGGGGGCTCAGCCCATCAGCGTCCCTCATCCCTGGGGTTTGAGCCCCCGGCGGCTCCTGCCTCACGCACGGCTGGGCTGCTCCAAACGCGAGGCAAACTGAGCCCACACAGCCACCGCTGCTGCACGCGGCCCCGGCTCATGCACAGTGCACACAGGGTGTGGTTTGCTTCTGCGTGCAGAGGAGGACGGAGTGAAATAACCACGATAAACAGTCTCAAGGAAACAGGCAGAAATATGGGAAGTTTCAGAGTTCTCCCAAAAGTTCATGAAACGTGAGGAGGAAGGATTTTCATTTGGGTGCAAAAACTTTTTTTTGACTTCTATGCATATTTCTTCCAAAAGCTCATGAAAATACACATCAGAAAAAAACTACGCAGGATTTAAAAACATTGCGGCAAGATAAACCTATGCTGTGAGCCCACGTTTCTGCAAACTTTCTGAAGTACCTTCACAGCAAGTGGAAATCCCGGGGCAGACAGGGCCACCTGGGAATCAGGGAGGCAGCAGACGGACCCGCGACCAGACGTGACACGAGCTGGAAGAGGCCGGCCAGCTCAGAGCTCCGGCTTCCGACAGAAGCACAGGAAAAAGATGGACCAAATGCACAAGGAGGGTAGGGGGGAGGCGCGTGGCGTGGCTGGTTAGTACCTGCCTGAAGCACCAGACTGCCAAGCTGCATGCACACAGCCCTCACACAGGGGGGACAGAATAGGGAGGGGAGGGGTCAGGCGCAGGTGAGCGGCGCTCCAGGCGGACCGAGGCACACGCGGGAGAAAGGCGGCGCTGTCCCAATCAGGGAGGTGCCGTTCAGCGCCCACACGCAGCCTCAGTGCAAGCTCTCGGAACCGGAGGGTCTGGTTGGAACCGGAGGGCTCTGGTCAGAACTGGAGGGCTCTGGTCGGAACTGGAGGGCACTGGTCGGAACTGGAGGGAGATGTGACCATCTTCATTAGCGGCGGGAGGAGAGCAGCCACAGCTGGACCACGTGAGCAGCAGCCAAAGCGCAGGGGCACACGCAGGCCGCCGCCCCGCGACCACGCCACGAGGCTCCGTGAGAGCCCCGGAACACTCGGCTTGAAGAGCGAGTGCAACACGGCTCAGGACTCAGTTACGCCTCCCGTGCCCTCTGACTGTGGAAACGGGGGGAGAGGCCCAGGTGAGACGGGGCTGGGGGCCGGCCGGCCGCGGGCCTGCGCCCCACATCTCGGTGCCCGGGTCTGAGTCCGTGTCCGTGTCCGGCCGCCCTCTGCAGCTTCCCTGGGAGGCAGCGGCTGCAGCGCCACCCTGAGAAGACCCACACTGAGCTCCAGCCGCTGGCTCTGGCCCAGACCTGCCCGCTGAGGACCCCTGCGGAGGAAACCACTGGACGGAGCTCTCCCTCTCGCTCTCTGCCTCTTGAATGAATGATACACAAGCAAATCAGTAGAACTAGAAATCACCAAATTTTTGGGAAATTAATCTTTTTTTTTTGACAGGCAGAGTGGACAGTGAGAGAGAGAGAGAGAGAAAGGTCTTCTTTTTCCATTGGTTCACCCCCAAATGGCCGGTGCACCATGCTGATCCGAAGCCAGGAGCCAGGTGCTTCTCCTGGTCTCCCATGGGGTGCAGGGCCCAAGCACCCGGGCCATCCTCCACTGCACTGCCGGGCCACAGCAGAGAGCTGGACTGGAAGAGGAGCAGCCGGGACAGAACCCGGTGTGCTGGCACCGCAGGCGGAGGATTAGCCCAGTGAGCCGCGGCGCCGGCGGAAATTAATCTTAACAACCCAAGAGTCAAAGAAAGGGATCTAAAATGATTCAGGAAACAGTTTTGAGTGAAAACGCGACACGTTCAAACCTTCAGCTAAGCAGGCTCCGAGGCTGGTGAGGACGCACAGGGTGTCTCAGGCCGGGGAGGCTGGAACCCATCCCAGGGAGTTCAGGACACAGGCAGTGAAACCCGGGTGTGTGTGTGTGTGTGTGTGTGTGTGTGAGAGAGAGAGAGAGAGAGAGAGACGTTGAAGAGCAGCAAGTCGGTGACACGGAAGATGGACAGCTCGCTCATGAAGCTCACAAGCCAGAATTTGGCTCTCTGGAGGTCCAGGAATGTTGAGAAGCTTCTATCAAGACTGATAGAGGGGCCAGTGCTGTGGTAGAGCGGGTAAGGCCACCGCCCGCAGTGCCGGCATACCATACGGGTGCCGGTTCGAGTCCCGGCTGCTCCACTTCTCAACAGCTCCCTGCTGTGGCCTGGGAAAGCAGTGGAGGATGCCCAAGTCCCTGGGCCCCTGCACCCGCGTGGGAGACCTGAGGAAGCTCCTGGCTCTGGCTCGGCGCAGCTCCGGCCGTTGCGACCAACTGGGGAGTGAACCAGTGGATGGAAGACCTCTCCCTCTCTCTCTCTCCCCCTCTGTAACTCTGACTTTCAAATAAATAAAGTCTTTAAACAACAACAACAAAAGACTGATAGACACGGTCGCATAAATTACTAGCATTAGAAATGCAATCACAGCAGCTCTAGCGACATAAAAAACCACCCAGAGGATCTTACAAACAAAATATCTCAGGTGGCTTAGATAAGACAGACCAGCTCCCCAAAGACACGAAATAAAAAGGGAATGCAAGAAGAAGTAAGGATACGTTTTCCCAAATTAAATGAGTTAAACCTGGAGTTTTAATGGCTTCCTGTGGAGAAAACGTGCCGCCTAGATGGCTTCGCCGGAAATTCTCCCAAACACTTCAGGGGAAGTAACACCAATCTCATGCAAGCCTTTTCAGAGACTTTTTATGAGCCAGCACAACCTTGATACCAAATCTGAGAAAGATGTTTCAGTAAAGGAAAAGCAGCGGTCATCACTCTCACCAACAGACGCACACCCCAAACCTGCACCAGCAGCTGGGCTCCAGGGCACGGCTGAGCCCAGCGTGGGGGTGCCGTGGGGGTGGGTTGTCACCGGTGTCGCCAGCGTGGGGGTGCCGTGGGGGTGGGTTGTCACTGGTGTTGCCAGCGTCCCATGTGGGCACCAGTCCAAGCCCCGGCTGCTCCAGGTCTGACTGAATTCCCTGTTCACGGCCCGGGAAGCAGTGGAAGACGGCCCGAGTGCTTGGGCCCTGCACCCACCTGGGAGACCCAGTGGAAGATCCTGGCTCCTGGCTTCAGCCTGGCCCAGCCCTGGCCACTGCAACCACCTGGGGAGTGAACCAGTGGATGGAAGATCTCTCTCTTTCTTAAGTAAATCAATAAATCTAAAGTGATGTTAGGAACAGCAGCCTGCGCTCAGTGTACAAGCCAGCACTAACCTGAAGTGGCTGGTGCACGCTGCGCCGTCAGACACGCGGCAACACGCGTGTGCCCAGCAAGGGCGCGGTTCCACCAGAGTGGGGGCGGGGAGGAGGTACCTTCTTCCCAGCACACGGTGCAGACCGGTCAAAAAACAAAGCCATGCTCGGTGAGAGACCACCCACGGGGACCGAGGATGGGACGGTGCGTCCAGAGCCAGCGAGCCAGTGCCGGGCACAGGCAGCGCCCAGAGCGGCAGGGGACGCGCGCGCTGTGCAAGAAACACGGCTGATAATCGCAAGACTCAGGATTCCTGCCTGGTCTGAGCCCTGGACAGCGGCACTGGCCGGGTCCCACGCGCCTGCCTCCTTCCATCACCCTGGGGGTCTGGGAGCAGGCCCCCAGCAGGGCCCCTGGTGGAGCTGCAGCCCTGCATGTGGCCCTACGTGCAGGGAAGAGCTCAGGGCTTCTTGGCGCTCATGTCGCTCAAAGCAGAACACCC